CCTCCTCTCCTCATGCTTGGTAGCCACGATAATGCAAATGCTATTTTCTCTGTCTTTGGTCACGTGTTTTCTTTTGCTTCCACAATAACACCGGCTAACTCTCCTTTTTGTTCATAGAGAGGTTATGCCTGTGTCCATAGTTTTTGCTGGAAGCTTTAGGATCGCTACTGCAGCTGATGAGAGAGGAGGCAGAGGTGAAAGCGCTTGGTTGGCGATATTTTTTTTTCAGAACCTAATTCATATTTTGCCAACGACACCCCTGGCTCTTCGGTCTTCTATTTCTTAAGAAAAATTTATTGTTTATCCTGTACATGAAGGGAATGCGCCAACTTGCTATTTCCACGACGGAACAAGGAGGGCGAGCCTCCTGGCCCTATCGTGGGTATACTGAACAACCGGGGTTTGATTGCCACGCTGCCTTGGGTCGTTATTATCGCTTGCATTCGGCTCAGAAGACCGTCAAATTGTCAATGCGCAGTAGCTGCTTAGGCTTTTCTTCTTGCGGTGGTCTGTTCTTATGGCCGTATTGCTGCATCGACCCGGCGAACGTTAATTCTATAGCGGATCAGCTTTAGGTGCTTTTCTTGGAATGTTGTCTTCTGTTCAGGCATTCTTGCGATCCGCGACCTCCCCGTGTGCAAGTCTTCAATAGGACCTTTCCTTAAAGCCGAACTTTTAATGCGCCCGTGAACTGATCACATGATGTTTGTCCCTCATTGTCTGATGACCTTCCGTGGCTGAAAGGCGACATGCGCGCACGTGGACAGAGCGAAGACGAATTACTTTTTTGCAATTATCTCGGTTTCCTTCTCCCTTACAATATTTTTTTCCCACTGCCGATCTCTGTTGTTGAGGCAACGTTCACTGAGAGGTTGGTAGGCTTCTGAGAGGTTTCCATCAGCTACAGAGCAACCGACTACTGTGAACCTAAGTAGATAGATCATGAGATGCAGGTAGATAAGCCACCGCCAAACTCCTACCAACCAACCACAGACCAATGGCTACAGCTAGTGACGAAATAAGAGTACAGTCCTCATTGTTGTCATGTAGTCTATCGACGTGGAGTGCAGGACGAGGAAGGTTTTGTACGAGACAAACTCATGCAACATGGTCGTACAAGAACCGATGCAAATGACGTCAATCACGCTGGTCTACAAAAAGCACTCAGCAATGAAGCTCAACACGGTGCTGCTGAACATCAAAGATGAGAAAAATCCCGCTTTTGTTTTGTCTGCGTATCAACCACCGGCACTGAGCCTACAGCTGTCACTAGAATTTTTGATGACTCAACATAAAATAATGACCCAGAGACCTTGTTTGGGTCTGTACGCCGATACACCGACGTATATTTAGACAAATAATTTTCGCTGATACTCTGGGCCTTGCAATGTTGTTAGACGGCTCGGTGCTCTGGACTGAGTGGTAATTTCAGACGACACTACAAATGATCAGCGGCGCGTCACACAACCCGATGTCACCCATATCTTTCGCCTTTAGGGGACCGAGACACAGTCTTTTAGGGTGCCATTGTTTTCGGAAAATCGGAGAGTTACCAGTCGGTGAGTCTAATCTAAGAATGAGAAAGTGGGAAACGCCGCGAAACATTTCTTAACAGAATTTTTTGTTATCTACAGCGAATAAGAAGTGAAATACCTAGACGCTGCAAACAGTGAGTGCCAGAATGGTTCGTGTTCGAGGGTGGCGGCTTACTGCGCATGCGTGCATTCCGCATGCATGCACCGTGGCTCTACTTGCCCCACTGGCGGCCATGATGCTGGCGCCGCTTTTCACCATGGAACTTTTAAGTCATAAGCAGCGCAAAGTTGAGCGGGGCTGGATAATAATATGGGAACGTACAGGAATTCAGAGTCTCGCTTCAGAACAGGTACTCGGCTTTTAGGGAGGAAACCAACCTTAGCGTAGATACAATGAATGATAATCTGACGAGTATCATTACGGAGTTTCCAGTGGAAGTTGGAGGAAGGGTAGTTAGACAGGACACTGGCAAGCTTTCCCAGCAAACAAATAATCTCATTAAGAAGCGTCAAGTCATGAAAGTCTCAAGTACAGCAGACAAAATAGAACTGGCAGAGCTTTCGAAGTTGCCTAATAGGCATAAGGTATGCGATGTAAGAAGGTATAACATAGAGAGAATTGAACACACTTTGAAAAATGGAAGAAGCGTCAAAGCAGCGAAGAGGAAACTTAGGATAGGCAAAAACCAGATATATGCACTAAGGGACAAAGAAGGCAAAATAACAACCAATATGGATAGGATAGTTAAAATTGCGGAGGAGTTTTACAGAAATCTGTACAGTAGCCGGAACAACCATGACCTTAATACTATAAGAACTAGCAGTAACTCAGATGACACCCCACCAGTAATAATAGAAGAAGTTAGAAAAGCTTTGGAGAGAATGCAAAGAGGCAAAGCTGCTGGTGAGGATCAGGTAACATCAGATCTGCTGAAAGATGGAGGACAGATTGTGTTAGAAAAACTAGCCACCCTGTTTACGAGGTGTCTCCTGATGGGAAGAGTACCAGAGTCTTGGAAGAACGCTAACATCATCCTAATACATAAGAAAGGATATGAAAAGGACTTGAAGAATTACAGGCCGATCAGCTTGCTCTCAAGCTATTTTCAAAGGTAATTGCTAACAGAGTAAAGAATACATTATAATTCAATCAACCAAAGGAACAAGCAGTATTTCGAACAGGCTGCTCAACAATCGACCACATTCATACTATGAATCAGGTAAAAGAGAAATGTTTAGAATATAACCAACCACTATACATAACCTTCATAGATTACGGGAAGACGTTTGATTCAATAGGAATATTAGCCGTCATGCAGACACTGTGCAATCAGGGCGTCGATGAAGTATATATAAAAATCCTTGAATAAATCTACAGGGGATCAACTGCTACGACAGTGCTTTATAAAGAAAGCAACAGAATACCAATCAAAAAGCGTGTAAGGAAGGGGGACGCAATCTCCCCAATGCTATTTACTGCATGCTTACAGGAGGTTTTCAGAAGCCTAGAATGGGACTGGTTAGGAATAAGAGTTAATGGAGAGTACCTTAGTAACCTGCGCTTCGCCGATGACATTGCATTTCTGAGGAACTCGGGGGACGAATTTCAACTAATGATTACGGAGTGAGACGAAGGGAGCAGTAATGTGGGTCTAAAAATTAATATGCAGAAAACGAAAGTAATGTACAACAACCTCGGAAAAGAGCAGCGCTTCGAGATAGGTAATAGTGCACTTCAAGTTGTAAAGGACTATGTCTACTTAAGGCAGGTAATAACCGCGGAGCCAAACCACGAGATTGAAGAGACTATAAGAATGAGAATGGGGTGGAGCATATTTGGCAAGCACTTTCAAATAATGACAGGTAGATTGCCACTATCCCTCAAGAGGAAACTATATAACAGCTGTATCTTGCCGGTACTTAGCTACGGAGCAGAAACATGGAAACTTGCAAAGAGGGTCCAGGGTAAATTGAGGATGACGCAGTGAGCAATGGAAAGAAAAATGGTAGGTGTAACCTTAAAAGACAAGAAGAGAACAGAGTGGATTAGGGAACAAACGGGGGTTGAGGATATCATAGTTGAAATCAAGAAGAGGAAATGGAAGTGGACCGGGCATGTAGCGCGTAGACAGGACAACCGCTGGTCATTAAGGGTAACTAACTGGATTCCCATAGATGGCAAGCGGGTCAGGGAGAGACAGAAAATTAGGTGGGCAGATGAAATTAAGAAGTTCGCGGGTATAAATTGGCAGCAGCAAGCACAGGACCGGCTTAACTGGCGGAACATGGGAGAGGCTTGTCCTGCAGTGGACGCAGTCAGGCTGATGGTGATGATGATGATGATGATGATGATGATGGTGATGATAATAATATATTTACTCTAACACTTAAGGGCTGGCACGCATGACAGCATCAGACTACGCGACTACGTACAGGAAAGTTATTGACTCCAATTTCATAACACAGCTTCAATTCTCTTTCGCATGAATGGTATTACCACAGTTACGTTCGAGTTGAAAATAAACATCCTACTCACAATGCGAAAACATGCTGGAGTCTGTGACTATATTTCATGGTCTTTTCATTTTCACTAGACTCTCTTCACACATGCTGGCCAGTTGTAGGTTCCTAAATATGATTCAACATGTGAGGGAACTTTAGCACTACTTTTCGCTTTATGAATAATGGTTATTTCAATGTGTGAGGGCAGTTTTACTGTTTCAATGTTTTGTTTTAACAATCAGGACGATGATTTTTTTCAAGGAACGGGACCATGCGCGCTTTTTTACCTACTGTGTAATTCAAACCATGCCCCAACGTGTGGGAACCTTCGACATTCTTTTAGAATATTCTAATAGGCTTCAGTGCGCAACGTCCCTCTTACAGGTTGTTATTGAGCGAGCCCAGTCACCAAAGATAACGCAGACCATTTCAATGCCACGCGAGTAAAATGCCCACGGTGCTTAGTACTGACCAGTATGTCGACGACCAATGCTCTGTTCCCAACTTGCTGTATAGCATGTATTGCTTGTGCGTGCTTTAGCTTTCCATGCATAAGCTTAAGTTCACCTGAACAAAGAGTTTCATCCGGAGCATGCCGACTGCGAGTTCATTGAACGCCATGACCATGCGGCAATATAAAAACGTAAATCTGACACAGCTGCTTATTAATTTGATTTGCAAAGCAACGTTGTAATTTGGGAAAGTATTATTTAATTTTAGTTCAGTGTGGAGCTTGTAATTAGTTGCCCTTATAACGATATGTGTCTTAATTGAAAATACCATTGTTGACAAGTCTTTGAACTTGATATTGGATGTGAGTAAATACAACAAAGTGTTATTACATTTTGTTGTAGTTTACTCCCATTGTACAAGAACGATTGCATTGTGCAAACTTTACGGAATGTACATAAAACTTTTGGTTTGGTAGATAAGTGAAACAAAACTTTGCTACTCATTACTTACTTCTGTTTTCGTTGGTCTGGGAATAGGAATGTCCGAGGCATATCCAGAAGATGCTTAAGCAACGAAGGCCATGCACAAACCTGTAGTCCTGTGTATCGGGATCGCCATTCTCCGTGACTTTCAGAATTCGCTGACTGTTACTCACGACAGAAAAGGCAGTGATGCACTTGTAGTAAAGGGCTGGAAAAGTAAAAAAAAACACTCACTTACGAGAAAACTTTCAGAACGCTGCAAGTGTGACGTGAACACACAAACACATACAAACACATACAAGCACACACAAACACACGCATAGAGAAAGAAGAGAGACATATTCAGGATATAGTAATATCTAGAACATTAACAACAATCACTTTATGCTTACACGATTGCGCAAACAGTGTGAGCTGCTCTTCTCTTCAGCAGACAAAGGGGACGAGGGGGGAGGGGTTACCTATATGTACACTCCAGCGGGGTATGGATCTTGTTTTCTACTGGTGAAGGTGCCTGCGAAGCTCATCGCCAAACGTGCAGAGTGGTGCATACTGATTGAAGTTGCACCATTTATATTGAGGTGGACCTTGTCAGTGCTTTTGCAAGTACCGACCAATAAACAAACAGTGGAGTCCAGTGAAGAGACTGAACACTTAAATTATTGAGCACACACACACACACACACACACACACATATATATATATATATATATATATATATATATATATATATATATATATATATATATATATATTTAGGTGTGTGTGTGTGTGTGTTTATTTGTTTATTACATAAGAATGTATACAAGGACAGATGGTAGAAGTAGAGAAGGAAGAAACGTCACCTTGATAAAGGTGTGAGCCTCAGCCCACAGCTTCATCCTTCCGTCAACGTCAGCGTGAAGACTTATGAAACATGCGTAATTACCAAAGCAGCCCACCATGTTATGACGAATCGCATTGCTACCAAAGCCTTCTTGCTGGCACTCTGAAGGTTTTGGCTCATAGAAGGGTAGTCGCAATGATCACCTGTGCTAAAGAACTCCTATTTGTGACAGTACTGAGAGATATCAGTGATATTCAGAACGTCTGAGGACCTCTCAATTCGCGTTGTTGTTCTCTACGCTTCAAAGAGAGCCGAACATTTCTCCATTTGGTGCGCCTTGCCGGCCCCACCGTGGTGCTCAAGTGGTTATGCTGCTTTACTGGTAACCCGAAGGTCACAGAATCGAATAGCAGCTGCCGCGGCAGCATATTCAACGGGGGCGGAAATGTTAGAGGCCCATGCACGTAGATTCAGGTGCACGTTAAAGAACCTCAGATTATCTAAATTTATGGAGCCCTCCACTACGGCGTCTCTCTTAATCATATCATGGTTTTTGGACGTTTAGGAACGGTTAGTGGAAGAGAGTCCTATAATTTGTGAAGTCTTGATTATACAAGGTGGTGGGAAGATGCAAGCTCAAGAGTAATCACACGGAGATTGTACTGCTGGGGAAAAGTGCTCTTTTTATTTTAGGGCCACTGACATCTTTGTGTAAAGACGCTACAAATAGCTATGATGCTCAAAGTGATTTGGTTAATGAACAGGACAGCAAGACATTGGCATACCAGAAGAAGCTGATAGATCACCCGTGGTGACGTTGGCAAAAAACAGCATTTCTTAAACGTCGGGCGCTCCATCCACCCTTACGCAGATCTTAAACGAGTCCATCTCTACAGCTGTCTCGAATTATATAGAGCTCATCCAGAAGTATGACATTTGTAAAATTGTTTGGCCGTGAGGCCGAAACACTTGTAACCATGGTTGAGGTAGATTAATCTAAGCTTGACAAGTGAAGCTCGAGAAGGCGAGTTTTTAAACGCCCCATACACCATGCCTTCAAGCTCGATTTGTCCAGTTTTATTGGGAGAGGCATGGCCGTGTTGAAAAGGAAAAGGAATGAATGCGTGAAGGCAAGCACTGCCGCAGAAAAAGGAGTTTGAACAATACTACGCGTTCGGTGTGGTTATAACTTCACAACAGCTTAGTGAAAACCGCAGAAAACAACGAAAAAGACAAGGTGCCACTTGTATTCCTGTTGAACATCAGAACCATACTGTCACTCCAGCTGAAGGAACACACAAAGTAAAAGGAGTGTGCTTTCATCAGTTATCCCAAGCATTGTTACGCCGACGACATTCATGCTAAATATGCCATAAGGTGCCACGACATTGTTCTATTCTCAAAAACACACAGGATGTACCTTTCATCAGCATCTATACGCACCGAATGAGTGTGTTTTCCTGTACGCAACAGCCAGCCTCGCTCTGCAGAGCAGTTATTTCATCACTAGACTGCTGTACTCTTCCCTGAAGTTTGCGGAATTCTGCTTGGACATTGCACTTTTTGTCTGCTAAACATTTTACTATTATACTAAGTTTTTCATCAGCCATGTCATTTTATTCATGACAATGTAAAAAAGTTGAACACGAATAACAGCCTACTGCGTACTGAAGTTTGGCGTATACATTTGAATCCCAGAATATTTCTTAGTTTAGAGTGCAGGCGAATGAGCTGGTTTGTTATCTTGAGCCTTGTCGTCAATTATTAAAAATGCTTATCTTTATAGGGCGCACAAACCTGGTGCTCTCTATGGAATCCAGTGTTGAATGTTGTGCCGCGTTCGCAAACCTCACAAATATCGCATCACCCACAGTTTTCAGACAACTGGAACAGACTGCCGCAAGAAGAAAATGCATATTTTTTTATCAAAGCAGTCTCTAGTAGACTTGTTGCGGTGGACGCCTCTTAACAAATTTGTTATGTCTGGACAGTTTCATTCAAGTACTGCGACAGGAAACACATGCAAACTAGCTATCACATCAAAGTTCCTGGTCATTTGTCGAAGTATTTAGGCACAAATCACAGGGCAGTCTTTACTACTGCTCTCTAGACTTCCGAAGCAATGACGAGTGATAGCACTGCTCTGAATGAGAAACGCCATCTATGGCAGAAATAATATGAGTAGAAATGTTTTCTGCACATCTCCTTTCGCCATAGCACTGTGGCTCCCGCTGACGTGCACTTGCTGAGCTTTTGGAATGCGCTTATGCTGCGCCACAATGTAAATAATACTGACTAGCCGGACTCTAAGGTGTAAATCTTGTTAAAACACCGTCAAAACATTGACTGACAGCTTAGTCATCGTTGGAATAGTATATTAGGAGCACGAGGCCCAAGAACAGCTCTTCGGCTTCTGGCATGCAAGCGTTGTGCCTTTGTCGCGATGTGGAGAGTTGTTAAAAACAAAAGGAGGGTCTGTTTACCTGTAAAATTGCAATAAAACATGTGTACTGAGGTTGGAAATGCGCTTATGCTGCGCCACAGTGTAAATAATACGGACTAGCCGGATGCTATGGATTAAATCTTGTTAAAACACTGTGAAACCATTGACTGACAGCTTAGCCATCGTTAGAATAGTATATTGGGAGTAGGAGGCCCAAGAACGGCTCTTCGTCTTCTGGCAAGCAAGCGTTGCGCCTTTGTCGGGATGCGAGGAGTTGTTAAAAACAAAAGGACGGTCTCTTTACCCGACAAATGGTAAAGAGCCATGTGGTCTGAGGCTTCGAAATAAATGAAACTCTGAAATCTCATGAAAGGTCTGCATCGTCATTGCAGCTTGGCTATGTGCAGAGTAGAACGATATTGCTTGGCAGGGTGCCATCGTGGTGTCTAGAAATGAAAAGTTATTAAAATATTCTTAAAACATTAGTAGAATTTAACAAGTTTTTAATTAGAAAATTTTATTTATCACTTTAAAAAATTGTGACATCCTAATCGGCGTGCTTTTAGCCCTTAGTGCCATGATTGGCACGACCTTAATTCGCAAAGCATCCAAAAGATAATGAAAAGCACAAAGAAAGCACGATCTGGCCAAGTAACACGCAAAAAAGTGGAGACAGATTTTTTTTCTTTTTCTTCTTTCATTCTCATGACTTTTACTCAATGCAGGGGATTCGAACATTGACCTAGTGTTAGGTGATTTTTTTTTGTTTCTTCACAATACTATTTGTATATTCAAGGGGTAGGTAATACAAAAACTATTTACAGAATAATAATAAACAAATGTGTAAAAGGGTGAATAATTTAGCTCGATATTCTTTTAGTCTGACTGATAAATTCCTCCATGGCGTAGTAAACATCCCAACGGCTGTAGCCCAGAGTAGAGGCACTAAATGATAGAACAACTGATTTGGATATTTCTAGACCCAAGTTTCAAAGAAGTGGTGCCATGAATCTTCTTCTCAATGGCGTATACCAGCGACAGGATAGAAAGTAATGACTGATTGTTTCCTTCTCTTTATTATGTTGATATTAGATAGTTTTTCCTTTCTGTGCATGCCCTAAGCTCAAGCTTTCACAGCTCCACTGTTAAAAATTACGTGACCCTAATGCTTCACTTTTAGGAGCTTTACGCCATAGTTATCTTTTGTTCCTAATACGTAAATAACCCACTTACTGCATGAAAGTTTTACAATCTTGCTATGCACCTACTACGTGGCCCTAATAAGACAGGTGCAGTAGTCTCTGTGACTTTTGTAGTCCGTTACCGGCTTCGAAGCACCAAGCTATTATGATAATCACATCTTCTGACGCCCGATTGCAATGGACGAACAACACATGCGTTATCACTGCAATATTTCTTGTTATATTGTAAACCATGTATGCAGGACGCGTGTGTTTGTGTGTCACTTTCACTGTATTTACAAGCAGAGAAAAGCATTTTGAATGTATTCACAAGCAGATGCGTGGCCATGTGGTAGAACATGCGCTTGACACGCAAACGACCCGGGTACGACATCCGCTCGGACCCAAACGACGTGGACTCGCTCCCCACGCTGACCATGGATTTTGTTATCATTTATTTTATGGGCACAGTTCCTAATTTTTCGGCCTCGCAAAGGTTATGTTTCGCTCAACAAAAACGACGCGAACGACGAACTTTTTGCGAAACGAGCTCTTTATCGCTTTCTCATTAAAGTTGCAGTTGTCAAATAACTATGACACCTAATATTAATTTGCATACCTTTTGCTTTTCAGATGCGTTATTCAACTAAACAAGCTAATTCATTGCAATCACACGCTTCTAGTAAACTATGTAGTTCTAATTATTCACACCTGCTTCCACTTAGGTGGGGCCGCTTCTAAGAGCATGACCCCGCAGTGCTCTGCGCTGAATACGGATCATGTGCGTGCACTTCCCTGCAGCAGCCACAGCTGAATCCGGTGAGAAACCCTATTCTCCGGCAGCGCCTGTTCCACGTAATGCATAGCGCGGCCACGCAGTGTGATTGCGGCGAAGTCGTCACACGCCAAACCTTAGCTAGCATATCCTATACATTCATAACAAAAATATATCATCTTTAGCATACCATTCTTGCGTTCATTTTCCCAGTTTCCAGTGAATAGTTCAAAGATTGTTCCGCAAGTTATAACTGCTGAGAGAACAGCCAGGAAAGCGCTGAAAAATCATAAAAAAGCATTGATGAAAAAATGTAAGATATTTAGGAAAGCCGTCAATTTCACTCATATGACAATCCAGTCACAGTAATTACTCAGACTAAAATAGATAGTGAGTCACTCTATTGGTTCTTCTTGTACTTACATAATCCAAGCTTGAACGACGTTTATTTCTTCATACTCATTTGTGACGCAGTCTTTGACAGTAATCTTCATGAAGGATCCTGCCACTGGAAATGTCGAAAAAATAAATCATCCAGTTACACTTTCTGACACCCTGCATATTTATGTAACACAGAATAATGAGACATAATTTTTATCTGTTTGTTCTTTTGTTTATTAAGGAATAATAGGTTTATTTACGGAACTGGTTTTTATATAAGTCAATGCTGGGCCACGAACCACTCAGTCGCTTCTTAACGACTCGTTCGGCGCTTTTCTAACTCCTTTTAGCTGCTTAGTCACTTGCAGACAACATATCAATTCTTCTATGTTTTCACGACAGCTGTGAAAGGGTATTAAACAGTTTAAATCTTAGATTGTCGTGCAGAATGCTTTCTAATTATGCCGTGGAGATGGCGTCTATTTAGTGGCGACAAAGTGCAGGAACTTGGGGGAGACTTTGAGTTTTGCCTTTAAGTGCACAAAGTGATAGCATAGTTTGGTCCCATTTGCATCCCCTTCCCTATTGCCATCCTGGCTGTACTAACATTGGGAGGTCCACCACTTGAGGCGCGAGCGCTGCAATTGCTGTGACGCGCATGGTTGGATTACGGAATCTTGCCTGGCTCTGGCGAAGGAAACTGGCGGTTGAATGCGTTGTTGGTACCGTGATTTCGTGGTGTTTTCAATTTTGAACAGCGTTGTTTTTCTATGACTTCGTGTGTGCGGACTTCTGCAGAATACATAATCCGAAATGTTGGAGCAAAAGTTGCCGTCGGCGTGCCACAGTGTGCTACGAAATTGAGGGCACTGGCACAGCTGCAGGCTGTGCCAATGCCACATCTCTTTTTGTTGTTGTGGTTGTTAGTTCGAGTTTATGGATTGAAGATGAGCACCGACCAATAATGCTCACAAAAAGGCAGCACTTCTCACTTTCCGCACGGGTGCCTCGTTGACAAGAAAAAGGGAATGCACAAAGAAAACCAATTATATATAATTTAAAATAAGACGTAGGTGTGTATATGAGGGGGAAGGTGCCGTCATTACATTAAAAATGAGCGCCATTGTCTGAATCGTCAGAGAGCCAAATATAGGCAGGAAGTTCACTTCTTTCTTTTTAGTTTAGTTAATTTTTCCCTATTCGAGTCTATATGTGGCCAGTTTTTACGGCGTGTTCAGTCAGCGCATTCGACGAAACTTTCTTTCTTACATCACAACATCACACATGTGCTGAACTAGTGCTTGCTAAAGCTTACCTCTCTCACCAAGGTAACCTAACCGCATTCTGTGCCACTCCCACCTTCCAGCCGGGCTGTCCGTCTCTATATTTGTACCCGATTACACGGGTTTCTATCGCCAGTAACAAAGCTAGGAGGTGGCAGACCACGCCCGTCCCCCCTACCCCCAAATTATATCCTATGATGTATAGCCCACAAAATGCGCCTGGGCAAATTGCGCCCGGGCAGGCAATGGTCTACGACCATTGCCCGCCCGGGCGCAATTCTAATCAAGGTTGTGCCTCCTCCTAAAAAAAAAACAGCGCACGCTCCTGCCGTCCTACGCTTCGGCTTATCGTGTTCGTTCCTCGCTTATAAGTTACGTCCGGGGAATAGGCCCATAGCCATTGTCGCTTGCTCTGAATGCTGTTTTGATCTACCGGCGAAAACATAGTCAGTTTAGCCCCGCCACAGTGGTCTAGTGACTAAGGTACTCGGCTGCTGACCCGTAGGTCACGGGATCGAATCCCGGCTTGAGCAGCTGCATTTCCGATGGAGGTGGAAATGTTGGAGGCCCGTGTGCTCAGATTTGGGTGCACGGTAAAGAACCCCAGGTGGTCGAAATTTCTGGAGCCCTCCACTGCGGAATCTCCTATATGGTGGTTTTGGGAAGTTGAACCCCACATATCAATCAACAAAGTCAGTATAGAAAACATATTCATCTTCTAAGAGCTTCAGCGTAATATCGCAGCGTATAAATTAGATCATAAAAAAACTGGACACTGGTGATTTTACTGAAACATGAAATAGCCTTTTAGATCACAGTACCGAAGACCTCGCAGCAGGCTTATTCAAAGGCGCCAATGATGCGGCTGCCTGATCGCATTTTTGTTATCATGATTTAGCCCTTATTAGAAATTCTGGAACTGAACCAACCATTCATACTTGATTTTCACTCGTGTGTGCGTCGATGGCGATCTAACAAGTGACCAGCGTAGAAACTTTGCGCAATAACTCTTAGAATAGAGCGGCAAAGAAAAGTTACAGCTCTTAATGTGGCACGCGCGTGCGTGATTCTCACGCTTGCTCACAATGATAACAGAACGATTGCTGCTGGAAGAATGCTGTGCTGCTTCCCACAAACCGGGGAATCCGCTTGCGCTGTTCTTCGTAGGGCTATGCGTGCTAAACAAAATTGTATAATTGCCCAGGCTTGTCGTATGAACCACGGCCCGTCTTTAGATAAAAACCTACAATGAATAAAATAGTGAATGTGCACATTTCTAGAAGCAGCAAAAATAAAATTTTTTTACCTTTATTACCCATTTAATGCTTCATTTCAACAAGGAACAACCTAAAAATGGCGGAGGGTATTGCAGGAGTAAAAAAAGTCAAGTTACTCTTCAAAGTGTTCTTCCACTCTCGTGAAATGTTAGAGTGAAATTCATTTTCGTTCTGTATGAAATGAGAGAGAGAAAATGCTTTTTACTCTACCTATCTCTGAGAGAGTGGAATATCCATATACTCTTTAGGCATGAGAGAGTAAGACGCGGCTATACTATTGATCTTGATTACATTCAGATGCCTCGGCACACCGCGAGTGATTATCATCACCTAACAAGCACACATATATGCATTAAAACGTACTGCAACTGTTTGTTGAGGCGTTAAAGAAGATTAACAAAAAGAACAGTGTTTTCAGCGCGCGCCTGCGAATGTCATCACACTGAAAAGCACTTGGAACTCCTAGTAAGTACATTTATAGATGTGTATCTGTGTAGTAAAATAAGCTAATACTATCTTATTAAATCGGTCACGATCGAAACTTGAAGCAAACGGCTACGACAGCCTCCTTATATTATTATTCATGTTTTTCCCTACCACCATCGGGGTTCACATCCCGGCTCCGGCGGCTGCATTTCCGATAGAGGCGGAAATGTTGTAGGCCCGTGTACTCCGATTTGGGTGCACGGTAAAGAACCCCAGGTGGTCAAAATTTCCGGAGCCCTCCACTACGGCGTCTCTCATAATCATATGGTGGTTTTGGGACGTTAAACCCCACAAACCCTACCACCATCGCAGAGGGGAATGCTGTCGTAAGCCAAGCGTACGGTATGGCTACAGTTGTTGTGGCTTTAGTCATAGAACACGAATAGAACATGAAGAAGAATTGCTGAAAATATGTCCAAGTGGGGAAAACAAATCTAAATTGCTCAATGAACACTTAAGGAGTGCTATGTTTTTTACGCAGAAATGACTAACCCCCTAGCTAGTCTGTGAAGATTCCGTTCATATAACCACTTGCGCTATTCTTTTTTTTATACGGTAGAAAACGTGTCGGACAGACGTTATGATCTAACAAAGCACAAAAGAAGTGCATTAAACACGTTACCTACTGTCCGGCTGGTTTTGATAACTGTGGAGACACTCAAATCTGTACTTCTAAGCAAAAAAAAGTTAGACATCATAAACAATACTTAGCTATAACAACAAACATTTTATGTCGACGTACAGTCTTTCAGTGTGGTAGAGAGGTTACCGTGTCAAACTGAGAATGTGCAGTGCGTTTGGAGGACGAAGGTTCGAGTCCCACTTAAGCGTTCTTTTTTTACCTTGTGTTTTTTTCCTTTTTTGTAGTGTTCGTATTTAGCCAACCTGACTATTCACACGCGAGAAAATCCGTCAAAAATAAATAAAAGCCCTATCCCAGTTCGATTTCCGCTATTTTTTTCGTCAGTCATACTGCTACACTTTTTGGTGGGGTAATGCTACTCTGCTTCGAGCAGCCTTATGTTACTCTGTGGAGGGGGAGTGCTTTGACCTGTTCGGGGGAATTACTGTACTCTGCCTCAACAAGAAGTGATTTACTCTCGAAAAGAGAGTGAAATATGGCAGATAAAAGTACTCTTCCAAAGAGAGTGCCTGGCACGCTCTTAGCTTTTAGAGTGAGTGTTTTATTACCTTTTACAGAAGTAGCACACTCGGTCTTCGTGGTTTTCATTTGGGTGGCCACAGAAGATGACGCCGGTAGTCAGGCATTACGAGTATCGCAACGCTTTTCCGGGGGGGAGGGAGTTTTTTAGCATTTCGTGAAATGAGGGAAGCAGCTCGAGCAGTACTTTACTTATTTCATTGAGAGAAGTACCACAAGCATAATAAATATAAAAGGAGTCAAAAAGCATCTGCGGGCTGCGCGCGAGAGGACCGCAGATCTATGCAACCACGCGCGTCACAGGGATGCTTCCGCATGGTGGCGCCTTCGTATATCCTCACGCCCAATATCTTAGAACGGCTACTGCGAGTACAGTAGTGAAACGCCCACTGCGTCTTAATTCTCACTTTTGCAGATAAGCGAAAGACCAATTGTTAAAGTTGTGAGGTCAAAAATGCAAAAAATAGCCGAGAAATGAAGAAAACAAGTCAAAATTAACCACCTTGAGCCTATAGTACTAAAGTTAGTCAAAAGCAGTCATACGTGGGGGAAAACAGCAGCGATGACTTCCCTTCAATAATTTAATGCGAGAACCTTCACTGGAAATGTGAATAAATGCAGAAAAAGCACTCAACCCTTAAAAGAGCTAAGATGAAAGAATTGTTAATCATTTCTCGCTGACTGACAAAATATCTGGTGCTACTGCATAATGACTCTCTCTTTACACATATCGCGCAACTTTTCCTTGAAAGATTATAGAAGTACCACACTTGAGACAGCAATTAAAATTAGTACTACCTGTGTGTGCTCAGAATCACAGTTGCGGTTACTAAAGCAAAAAACTTAGTCGCATTCAGAATTGTTCCTCACGCAATCGTCCCACGGGTACTTAATATTTGTCATTGGTAGTTCACACATG